TATATATAGATTCGATATGCAAATAATTATAGCAAATTACATCGTTCGTTCGCAGTGCGGGGGAAATGGGAATACCAAGCGGCGCGATTATCATGTATTAATGTAAAAATGTATTCGATTTACATATACGTATATGTTAATGCAACACGATATACACACGGCTGTTTCTTTAGAATCGACGCACGTTAACGCTTTTGCAACATACCGTACTTATTACACGTCACTTATCTTCTATTATAAGCGCAGTGTAATAGTGAGTTACGTTGATATCGATCTTTCAATTTATAAAACAAACATGTCTACGAAGCTAGCATCTTAGCGATTATTCCTCCTCCCTCTTCCCTTTCCCGTGTTGTAACAATATTTATGACTGATTCACGCGATAATTTTATGTTCTGTTTGCTATTCTATATGCATTTCTGAATAAATTGCGAGTAATGCGCGATTTGAAAGAGAGACAACTGGAAACATTTTTTAATTGAGACCTTGATATTTTTCTTATTATTAGCAGATGACAAATTGATAGACAGTCTGGGAAATTGTATAATCGCTTTTTCATGGAATATGTATGTGTGTGTATGTGTGCCACACGATTCATTATATACATATGCGAGCGTTTGATTGGCTAAAATTAATATATGTATGTAAACGTTATTACCTTACAAAACAAAAAAAAATATCAATAAAAAATATGTACATGTTAATAAAAAAGAAAGACATTGTCAGTGCTGAATACTAGAGTAGAGTTATTGCGTTTTGCAAACATTGCGGTTCAATATCTCCATTATTATATCGAATATAACAACTTTGAGCAATTAAAGATAGTACACTTTTGTACACTCAAACTGTAAATTATAAGAATCCAAGCCGACAGTTTCAAACAGAAAAAACGCAATCGATATCATGGATTAGATAAGTGAGATATTTGACTAAAATTTTATGTTTTTAAAAATCACTTGATCGTTAAAAATGCTTCTGTTAATTATAGAAAATTTAAACATTATCAAAATGCAATAGTTGCAGTACGCAATTATAACAATTTAAGATGATAATCTTATTTACTATATCTTAACTGTACAAAATTCTTAAACAACACAACACTAGGATATTTCGTCTATCGTAGAATGTCTGTGTTTAATTATTTTTAGTCTCTTTATATATTAAAGATACATATAGTAACTTAATGCCATCTATGAAAATCGGGCACGAACTTATGCAATCATCCAATACATTGAAACTTTAGTTCCAATGTGAATAGTAAAGAAAGAAGAAAATAGAAGAAAGAAAGAGAGAAAATTTATAAAAAGAGAAGAAGATATACACGCCTGCGTTTAAATCAATACATCGCGAATATAAAATTACCCGTATTATAAATTGCTCCTTATCAGATTCACAACTCGAATACTTAGGCTATAACAATTTCAACAATGTTACATCTCGTCGGTACTCTTTCTCTCACAGTTTGACTCACAGTCCTGAAGGTTTTCTCGCGATGAACGTGTCGTGAATCCATAACGTATCCGTTATGTACGTGAACAAAAAATCTTCATAGAGTTTAAATCCTTGGCTCCCTCGAACACTTCTAGAGATCAGTCTTGGTGTAGAGTCCGCGACCAGTCGAACTCTATTCCCGTGTCTATATTAATCATGATTTCTCATCATAATTTCTTGTAGAATATTTTCTTGATAGCTTCTTTCCTTTCTGGCGACACGAGAGCCAGTGGCGTCTTTCCCTGTTGATTCTGTATATTGGTCTGACCACCGGCTTGTATTAGGAGCCGGCAAACCTCCTTCTGCTTCTCCAAAGTCACGGCATTCGAAACTGCCGCGATCATGTGCAACGGCGTGTTGCACATGTAATTGGTCTCGTTCACGTTCCTTGAAGTAGCCTTGCACAGTAGCACCTGTTGAACGCGAAAAAATTCTGCGTGTAATTTCCGCGAACGATAACTATCACGATATATCGCGCATCGCGTGCATGATACAAAAATTTAATCCCTCCCCGAATCGAATCTCTTTCTAGAAGTTATCTTATAAACAATTTATTTTTAAAAGGTATTTTTTAAGGAATTTCTTTAAAAAGATTATATTTTAAAGAATATTTAGAATATCCCTTTTGCATCCTTTTTATTTTATAATTTTTTAATCAACCATTGGTTTTATACTGTCTGAGTGTATCATTTATAAATTAATTAAGGGAATTATGTTAATTATTATTAATATAAGTAAATTCCAATGTGAATTTATTGTTAAATAAATGTCTTCTATGTATGAGAGAGATAAAGAATGATGCTTCAATAGGTACATTTTTTCTGTTAAGCAAATATCGTATGTGTTATATAAATGCGACAGAAGAAAACGGGTTAGATAGCCACTACATTGATTTTTCATTAACGCCCGACGCATAACGCGGTATTGTTTTGTAATTGTTGAATATGATAATCCATTATCGACATAATGAAGTTTATGTCACGAGGCCATCGCGCGAGCTTCTAGTTAAACAAGAGTGAAAGAATTATTCCTTGCTCTCTATAACCATTTCTGATTGATAGATATTTTCCACTACATGAAAAAAGAGATTAAGAATTAATAATGTCTCATTTGAACACATATAACTGAACTTCAATCACAATTAAACTACAAATTATGTTTCATGTTAAGGTTTGCTTGAAATCAGCTGTTTACGCTCGTCAGAAAATTAATGCGGTAAACTCCCGCACAATTTTCAAAATTTCAAAATTTTTTAAAAACTTCATTGTCTCTGTACATCGAAACAGTTCGCTGTAAGAGAATCGCGAAACTTTTTATATATCGACAGTTGAAGATGATTTCTTCGTAATTTCAATGAACAGCGCATTGCAGACCGTATAAATATCATTTTATCAAAATGCAATAGCCCGCGATACGTGATAACGTTCTCGCAAATTTTGAGGAGGGAAATCTCTCCTCGGGTGAATTACCTTGACGAGCGTGGGATCGCAACTCAACGAGGCCGCCATGTGTAAAGCGGTGTCACCGCGCTTGTGCTCTTTGATATTGAGATCCGCGCCGTTTTCCAACAGCAGACGCGTCGTGACCAAGGACTTGATACCCCGTCCGGTAGGATCGTGCGATTCGACCGCTACGTGAAGAGCTGTTTTACCTGGAACGATACACAAACACGCGTTCTCATCCCGCTTATCTCAGATTGGCAATCTCACCCTCTTTAATCTCGTCTCTATGCTTAACTAACCGTCGTAATTGCAGTTGGAGAGATTAAAAACGGAGTTGCCTTCAAGCGTCTTCAACGTTAACAACTCCGCCAGGACCTCCCCGTGAGAATCGCCTCGCGCCGCGATAGAGTGTATCAGCGTGTCACCCTGAAATGAAAAAAATTATAGTAGCATTGGAAAACTTGTTTGCATAAAATGCATAAAATTATCTTCAAAATTAAATCTTTCGTTAAAAACGTTTAATTACGTTTGCTCCTCTTTTTTAAGAGCATATCGCCATTATCCGTTAATCACTTATCTGTTAAGAAATGACTTACTGAAACTTCAGACAAAATGTCTGAAATTTCAGGAAAACGACTTTGATGATTAAGACAGATTGTCTGAAATTACTTTCAGTGATTGTATACAGTTAGTCGCTTGAAAATATGTATTTATTAAGAAATAATCGTGCGATTATTATTTTAGCAATAAGAAAACTTTTTCCACGTAATAGGAATCGTTTTTCACGTACAAAGACTTATCCGAATGTAATACATTCGATTAAAACGAGAATGGCCGTATGTAAGTGCGATTAATGAACCGCCCTGCAAAAGCTACGAGTTTCGCTTATGATAAGGAATCCGACATATGTGACAAAACTCACACGTAGGAGATATAATCTTTGGTTGATATCGAGCCCTTTCTGCAACATCGTGGCGGCCAGATATCCGCTGACGTACGGCATTTCCGGACAATTCATAGCGGCCAAGTACAAAGCGTCCTCGCCGCGATTATTCACCATCGATAGGGCGCCCGGCATGTTGCCCAATCTCTCGACCAACGGCGCCAGATACGCCTTCTTCCTCGTTAATTCTTCCGGATTGCCCACCAGGCACATCAATGCCCTATTATTTATATAATATGCGTATAACGACAACGTTAACATGACGCGATGTCGAATTAAAGGCTAGTAAATCGAATATTTTTTTATTTAAAATGTCTTGTAAGATCTTCATACTAAAAAACAAATTAATGGAAAATATTTTATAATATTGTTAATTAATTACACAATATATACATATACACACGTACTAATTAATATTTTATAACATTTATTTATTGCGATAAATAGCTTTTTCTTATTAACAAGATAAAAACCTGAAACATGGTTTAAATAAAAAATCCATTGCAAGTCAAATTGAAATTGAGATTAAAAGTAAAAGAAAAATTTTGATTTTGGTAATTAAATTGCATTATATTTAAATGACAGAGTTAATTTTTTTAATGATTACATAAAAATGGTATATCCGATGATATCAATCAATATATTTAAATATATGTATAAAAGACGAAGAATTTTTTTACATATACGCGCTTTATTAATACATTTGCATAGAAAATGAAACGAGTCACACTTACGTATCGCCGTCCTCGTCCGCGGCTGCTAATTCCTCTACGGATTTCTTCAAGAGATTACTCATGGCTCTTTCCACTTCCTTAGGATGCAATCCTTCCTTTAATCTCTCGCTCGCTCTTACGGATGGCAAGTTTAACGAAGGCCACGGTAATATGCCCCGATTCGAGTTTCTGACGCAACAAATCGGGTCGTTAACCACACGTTTTATCATATCTATTCATGCGAGAGTCATGATAATTATAATACATATTTTAATACTCGCGATATAAAAACTATAGCTTTCATGCAAATTAAAATTATGTTGAAGAATCGATTAAAAAGAAGATATTTATTCATATGTAATGCGAGAGAGTTCAGAGATTACTACTTCCAATTTATAATTAGTCTCTGTATATTTCATATTTTTTTTAATATGACATTGTCAGAAGACTTAAATAATTAATTCATCGCAATATTTTTTGCATCACATCAGCTAATGATACGCAATGAAAATGTGCCTAGAAAAACATGAAGCACATTTTGGAGCATATCTTGATCTTGATCGTCTTTCCGAGAAAAAAAAGACTTTACTTTAATAGGATTATTTTGTTCAAATTTGGCGAGAAATTTTTAATTTGTATTTATATATCTAATAAAAATTTTTTTAATATATTTTTTTCACACATCGTCAATATTTCACAAATTATTTTACTTATTCGCTCCTCATAATTATAAATATTTCGCATCCCGGAAATTTTGTCAAGCTTACCTCTGCGGACGACTGGATACAAATGAGGAGAAGACCATCGGTGGTATCTGATAATTATTGGGTGCAAATGTCGATGATGCCTGGTTGTATCTTTTCTCTCCGTTGGTACGAAACATCGCGTATTTCTTCCGAGACGCGTTTTGCTCGGTCATCTTCACGGATCTCTCGTTATTATTTAAGGCGATATTGTGCAAGGTATCGTGACACATTGACACGTCGACCTGAGGGTTCTTTAAGCTCGCCTCGTAATATCTTTGATCTAGACTAGGAGTCGCTTGGGAGCTATCAACCGCGCAATTCACGAGCGTGCCTCCGCTGGTGCTCTGCTTGCTCGTGTAAACCGACATGAGGTTGCTGATGGGGTTCGCGTTAAGTACGCTCAAACAGATCGGCTTCTCGCTCTTTCGCGCGTCGCTCGCGGGACACTCTCGCTCCAGATTGTTCTCCAACGTTCCTCGTACCGGGGGAACGCACCGATCGTTATAGTTTGACGAGAAACACGGGGCGTTCGAGGCTACCTGCGGCTCGTTCAGCGACTCTTTGTGTTGCTTGTCCTCCTCTATGACCTGCTCGACGAGCTGCAGCAACGCGCAATCGATGGTATCGCTGCTGTTGACGATGGTCCCCGAGGAATCGTAGGTGCCCCTCCAATCGGACAGCGTCTCGCCGAGCTGTTCCTCGAGCTGGTAATTCAGGGGTGTCTGGTAATTCAATGGGCTGGGCACATCGCTGTAGGATTGATTAGAAGACGAGGACGAGGAGGACAACAAAGCTTGCGGCGCTCGATAAGTCGAGGCGACCTGAACGAAAGAGAGACGTCCGATTAATCGAAATCACCTGCTATCGAATGGATTCATTTCACGTTTGTTTATCACGATGAAACGCGCGTGACAAATATCAGCAACTACGACATAAATTCGTACAAGTTGTCAGATAGTTGTTCGACTATTTTACGAGACTCCGTGGAACCGTGATAAAAGCATGTTTTATGGATAGAACGGAACAACGTATCGGTTGCGAAGTTTTAAATATTCAAACTTTTTTTATTACGCTTCTTTTTTTCCCACATTGCAATGAATTTAATATCCGACAATAGAATGTTCTAAGATATTTTACGAAAAGCCATAAAAACATATGTCTGAAAAAATGACATTATTATATCAAATAGCTTAATCAGATAAGAGACGATCACAGATATATAAACGGAAGAGAAATTTGTACAGATAACATCGTAAAAGATACAGACCGTTGAATGTATAATAAAAATATCGTCTACAAAAATACCGAAATCACCAGGTTTTGAGATAAATCACGCCAGCTTGATACCGATCTACTGCAGCGAATAAATTCAAAGTCTGTAAAAGTGATTCTCGCGGCTCTATTCCGCTCGATCGAGATCGCGGTTTAGGATGCGATAATCGTTATTTAATATCGAATTTTTTCGACGGATCGCTCTTCATTATGCGCCGCGGTTTTACTTATTCCAAGCGCTGTTTATGCGCGCGTCGCTCTTCATGCATTTATGCGGATTATCGGGCTGCGGGGCTTACCTGCGGTGAACCGAGCGGGCTGCCGATGACGTTGACGTGCATCTGCGGCGACTCCGAATTCGTCGCCGAACCGGGTGACTGAGCGCGACTCGAGGCCCGACTGTTCGACCTTGAGACGACGTAGTTGTAGCTGCTCGCCGGGGAATCGGACCAGGTTTTCGCGCTCCTCGGCGATGGGATCGAGTGGCTACCGGCGTCTGAGAGTATCGCCGCTTGAAAGCCGTCTCGCGACAGGATGTCCATCAAGGACTCTTCTCCCGGCTCGTTGACGATTATGGAGGGAAGTGCCGCGGTCTGAAATAAGATAAATTCTTTCTCGTTTAACTAACAGTAAGCAGAACAATTTGGAAAATTTTTCTACGTCGTATGGTGTTTCATACCAATATAATAATTTCAATTGTGTGTAATTTATGCTTTGCTTCATCGATCGATTAAATAATTATGTAATCGCACGATTGATATACATAAGGAAACAATCTTTATAACTGTTAACCAATTTTTTTTTTTTTTGTTTCTAAAACGTAGTCACAAAGTTTTGTTTGCATAAAGGAAAATTAATAGTTAAAAATAATAATATGGCTATTTAGTACGTATCAAATATGATATTTGCAGATTAATCAATTTGATTTGTTTTTACATGATATTAAATCGTAAATATAATTATTATCAAAATATTCCATATTAATAAAAGATAGACATAATTAACTTTTTTGGATTCTTCTCTTTTCGTAATTTCTATGTAACTTTATCTGGAAAAAAAAAAAATACGCGTCAATATTCAAGCTCCCGTGATGTAACGATGATCTTAAGTGAGAACCGTGCACAATCTTGTAGGAACGTTATCGTACGTCGTATTACCACATAGTCTCAATGGCAATTTAATAGACTTACGTCACCGCTGGGATCTCCGCTGTGAAAGATATCATTCTCTCCGGTCCAACCAGGGTCCATCGCTAGACCTGCGACTATCGCTCCGATCGACGACGACTGATTATTTCGGCAGTTTGAGTTCGATAGTTGATCCAAGCAGGGATTGAGTTTCTCGCTGTAATCTTTGTTCCTCAAAATCTGTTCGGCAGTCTTATCATAATCTACCGTCACGTGAGCTACCACGTCCACGCTGTTGTTGGCACGCGACAGACAGCTCACCATGGAATAGGGATGGCCGGCCCGCAGAGGTTGGTAGTCGGGCTTGATCGGTCCCCGTTGAATCAGATCCCCGTGCTTCTGTCGTCGCTCCTGCTCGGTTTCCGAATCGTCGTCCAGGGAATTACGATCGTCCAAAGAGAGACGTCGTCGTTCCTCAACGTCGCGGATATTGAGCGGTAGGCAGTTCTCGTTGTCCTCGATCGTGATGTTGTCACGATCCTCGTTGTTGTTTACGTCTTCGTTATCCGACTGACTGCTCGCTCGCGACTTGCAGGTGTCCCGATACTCTACATTGTTCTCGCTGTTGATGCGACGCGTCGATCTATCGACGTTCTCATTAGCGTTCTTCTCGTTGTCGTCGTCCTCGTCGAGCGTGAAATGTAGATTCTCGATTTTCTCGATTATGTCCTTGAACTTGGTCAATTTCTCGCGAAAGTCTTTCTCGAGATCGAAGCTCTTGTCCACGTCCGCGCTCGAGCGACACGACGTATCCGGGCTGGTAGATATATCTTCGGCCGATCCGTAACCCTCCTCCAGAGAGCTCACGGATGAACTGTCCGGAATCGAGACGCGTTGCAACGCACGCTCCTCGATTCGGATCAGCGTGATATGACCGGGATTCGCCATGTTAATTGTGGGTTTTTCCTAAATTTGCGCAGTCCTGATTAAAGACCGTCTTCATATGTTTCCTCGCTAATTTTTAATCCCTTTTAGTCCCGGAAATTCTGTTCCAATGTGAATCTGTGAAATAAATTGCCGCAAATTTTATAGATCATAGCATAAAGATAATTCTATTAAATTAATTAATATTCTTTTTACGAATATATTATTAATTAAAAATAAAAACCATGTAAAAGATTCATTAAAAAATATTTCTAAATATTTTTAATTTCATGTATTTATTTATTGCAGTTTGTTAAAGATTATATTTATTTATATAATATTTTCATTAGATCTAATTCACCTATCTATAATCACTGAAATTTCTAATCAATAAAGTAAAATATTCGATATCATTCAAATTATTTTAAAATTGCCCAAATAATGTCATATAAATTAATCTAAAAATCTGTCATCTAAAACTTATCTAAAATCTAATCTAAAATTTATCATCTGAAAAGCATTTATGATATTTTATTATAGAAAACAATACGACGCACGGTATAATTTGTACATCTAAACGCTCGGCGCAGTATATTCGACAAGAATTAATAATAAAAATGTAATAAATTTTTTGGAGATATTTTTCAAAAGATGAAATCTAATCATGTCTTTTCCAAACCGCATCGCTCTCTTTCTTCGCGTCATAATTACATATACAACATATACAATTACAAGTGCCGTCTTTCTTTATCTTTTTTGGAACTTTTCGCGCGATCGTTGCCGCCTCAAAAGTATTTATAGAGCAACTTAGCGCTACTAATAAATATGAATGTTTTCCGTTATGCGTATTGATATCCTGAACTATATTTTTTTTGTTATTTGACAGCTTTTTATCATTCGATAACGCTCGTTCATTAACACCGCGCATCGTGTGTTTGATGCGTAAAAAGAGGAAAACAACGCGTAATACACATTCTTGCATAAATTTTTACTATATCAAGAAGCAGCTTACGCGGTAATTGAAATAATGGTTATCAATAAAAGAAATGGCGAAGTCTTGTAACAGCGTGTGTGAAGAACAATCGTATTATAAATAGAGTTTGTTAAAAATATCACGATAATTTATATTCCCGAGACAATAAAGATCGTATTATTTAACAGATGATTGTTATATCGATGAATAACGCTCATTAGATGCGTGATAAGACTTGATTAGTTTCAATCACTATAATTAACAATATTTCCTCAAATTATTTTAAGTGTGTTTTATATACTATAATAATTTATCTTATAAAACTAGTTGGATTTTTATTTCTGTAAAACTTTTGAAAAAAATAGAAATATTAAGAATAATATTAGCTAATTTTAATTAACTGGTTTTTCCTTTGTATGAATTATGATTTATATGTTAATATAATATTGAATTGTTGGAAAAGTTTTCTAATCTTTTTCTTAAAATATATAAAATAAAAAAATTATAAACAGCATTTTAAATAATTCAATATAATGTGATTATATCTTTTCGTTGATAATTCAATTCAATCCGTTTGTTGTTTTCGTTACTTTAAATTCGCTGCGAAAACTTTGATCGAAAAGGCCAAGAGATCGGATCTCCGTGACCGGATATTCGATTAACAAATTTTTCTAATAATAAAACCCTTACACTAGTGAATTAAACATCTGTTTATATAAAACATACTGCGCTTAGAGAAAAAGCAATGAAAGTAACAAAATTTATATAAACATTTATATAATCTAACGATAATAAAAGTTAGGATTATAAATTCTTTTTAATTTGGAGAATTTTTCAAATCTCACAAACAAAACTTTCTTTTCAAATTCTAACATTTTCTATAAAGTTTTTCGATTCACGCTTCCAGAATTCTATCAAAAAATATTATAATTGTCAAATTGATCTCTCTCCTGATAAAAATAAATTAGAAAACTCCGAAAAACATTGGATCATTTAATCTTCATGAAACATATACATTGATATAAAATAAAAAAATAAATCCATTAAAATATAAAATAAATAAAAAATGTTAATAAGATTTGAACGAATTGTGTATATCTTGTAAAACATAATATAAATATTTAAGTCTCATAAATTAATTCTCTATTCCCCCTTGTCAAAGCATTTTTTGACGTGTATTTTTGCATCTATAATTAGAAGAAAGTACATGATCAAAAACAACAAGAAAAAAACGCGCGCGATCATTAGAAAATTGCTAGACTTCCAAGTAATAGTGTATTAATGTGATGACAAGAGTTAGTTCTCATCTGCAACAGACATGCGACTATTACGCACGCAACTTGCGCACGCATAACTCACAAGTGTATAAAATTATACTGCATAACAAAGTTTTTATTATACAAGTGTAATGAAGTATCTCTCTCTCTCTCTCTTTTTCCGCGATAAAAAAAGCAATGTTATAACGCTTCAAATCCATTTGTCTTTCTCTCATCAACGATTATAGAGCGATAAACGATGGATAATGAGAAGTGTTTTCCAAGAATAAAACTTCAAAGACGCAAATAGATAAGAAAATCTTATTCTTTGATATCTTATATAATTTTAGTCTTTAAAAATCAATAATTTCGCAGAGACCAATATTTCAGCTTGAGAATTTATTTTAGAAAAATTCTAATTCAAGAGAGTTTATCGGCTGGAGATGTAAAAGTTAGAAAATTAGATTCTCTCTAACTTCTCCCTCCATGATGGTTTTTAATCCGTTAATTGATTCACAAGATAAATTAATTAAGCTATGGTTTATACACAGCAGGGTTTTTTCAAAAAAACTACAAATTTTTTTATTTTGTAGAATAGCTTTTCTTTTATTCGTAAACCCATGTAATATTGTATATTTTTGCACAATTTTACATAGACATGCAAGAAAAGAAAGTATGAAAAGATTGAGGAAAATGATCGTGTTGTGAACGTTTCTCTAAATTTGGTATATAAAAAATCTGAAGATTTCATAGAAAATTCTTTTTTTCATTTATAAATCTCTATACAAAAAAACATTGTTTACGTAATTATTCAATAGTTCTTGCACGATACGGAATTCAAGTTATTTCTTGCAAGAATCGATGTATCTATTCGTAGATATTAAAAAGTGTGTCGGAAAGTAAGCTGATTAAAAAATATTGCTTCACGTAGCGTAATAGGGTAATTAATTACCACGGGCGTATCCTCGGGACGTCGAATCGATGGAGGTTGCAAAATTGCGTCGCGACAGGATTGCGTTTTGCGACAAAAACCGTCGTCGAAACTCGCTCTCGAATTCGTCGAATCGCGCAAATCCGGGTGTCAAAGTAACGCGCATTTCACGCGGCCTTCACTCGCGAGAGACAAGCGCTCCGAAAGACTTCGCTGGTCTTATGCGCCGATCTCGAACTCGCGATCTCTTATTATCGGCACGCGATATTTTACATTCCTCACACTGCTTTCATATCTTCGTCTCCACGTATCACTCTCAAACGTTCCGTTTTTGCTTCAAAGCTCGAGTTTTTTTTTTTCTTACGCGCTCGCACTTTACGAAGCCGATCGCTCTTGATCTTCCGCGTGTACGTTGCGTCTTGTAAAATCTAATTTAGAACGCGAGCGTAGAGAGAATGTCCATCTGTATATTTCATCATTTTTTGGGGGGAAAGATATATATATATATATATATTTTTTTTTGTGCTCTGTGAAAACGCGCCTTTAATTTGATTAGATTTTCTCTTGGCAGCTTCAGTTACGCGAGAATCGAGTTCATCAAAACCTCGGCGAAAGATCTCATTTGCGATTCTGTGAACGATCCGGTGCACACTTACGCATGCACGCACGTACGCACGCACACGCGTACGGGCGGACCGAACGCCCGCGCGTTCTTTTCGCGCGGCTTCGGAACCAGTAGTTACAGTCAGTCGGATCACGCGTGTACGCAACGACCTTCGACGCCGAAACGCTTCACGCCGCTCCAATATAATCGAGCGACAACACACTCGCGGGATCCTTATCTCGCGTCCGTGACTTTTACCGAATCGGCGACGGGGCCCCGTCGATATATATATATATATATATATATATATATATATATATATATATATATATTTTGTGCTCTGTGAAAACGCGCCTTTAATTTGATTAGATTTTCTCTTGGCAGCTTCAGTTACGCGAGAATCGAGTTCATCAAAACCTCGGCGAAAGACCTCATTTGCGATTCTGTGAACGATCCGGTGCACACTTACGCATGCACGCACGTACGCACGCACACGCGTACGGGCGGACCGAACGCCCGCGCGTTCTTTTCGCGCGGCTTCGGAACCAGTAGTTACAGTCAGTCGGATCACGCGTGTACGCAACGACCTTCGACGCCGAAACGCTTCACGCCGCTCCAATATAATCGAGCGACAACACACTCGCGGGATCCTTATCTCGCGTCCGTGACTTTTACCGAATCGGCGACGGGGCCCCGTCGCCGTCAACGGTAGCGGTATCTCCGGCTTCTTCTTTTTCTTTCACACCCCGGTTGAACCAAAAAAAAATCGCTGCTGCTGCTGCTCCTCTTTCTGGAATTTCCACATCCGCTCCTCCTCCTCTTATTCTAATCGCACGCGTACTTCCCGACGCGATTTGTCAAGGCCGCGGGATTCGCGAGACAAATCTGTCCCCCCTCCCCGCCTCCTCGACAACGACACTCTCGTGCGACGCAAACGTGCTGATCCCGAGCGATACGCGCGCGCGACTGCGGGTCGGCTCATTGACGCGTGCCGACGACCCGCCGACGCGTCGCCTCCGTCATAATCGCATTCTCCCCAGTAACGTAGCTAGTTTCCCGCAGAAAAGATTGATTCATATAATCCTTTTGGGCTTAACGAACTTACGGACTCGAGTTCATTGCGGATACTCACGCACGATGACACATCATGCACACCCACAAACACGACAATTTCCGACTCTGTATTCTCTAATTAGTGCGTGATTAGCTGATTAGTATTGCATCATCTGACATTTCTCATATCTCGTATCTCATCATAAGACATTGATTGAAATTAAGAGAAAGGATTAACCTTTTGAGGACGGCTATTTATATATAAATAATCAAACTCTTTTATAAAATTGGTAAAAAATATTTATTTAATGAGAATAAATATGATTTTAATTAAAAATGAATTGAAGCATGACGTTTCTTGAAGTAATGAGTTACTCAGAGACGATCATTGCATCTTACACATTCATACTTTGACTCTGATCTTTTCCCTTCTTTTCTGACCGACTACGAACGATGCGTCTTCTTTGTTTTCTTTTCTTACCAAGCTCATTGATTGAATAAGAGAAAGGAAATGCCTATCAATAAGTTTCTTTGAATGCTCTCCTGCACTTGTTCTTCTTCCGGTTTCAATTGATTTCGCATATTGATTGATAATTTCTCCTATCAATTGAACTCTGAAGTCACCGAATCGATTCCAGTTTTAGATAACTTCAAATTTTATGAGGGAAGTGAGTGGAATTACATAAGAAAATACGATATTTATTGAGTAAAGTTAAAAAGTGATATATATGTTTGCCGTCTTTGAAAACAAAAACTTCAAAACGCATATATATGTCTGCCGTTTTCAAGGGATTAAAGAAGTATTATATGCGTTTTCGAAAAGATAATTAATTGGGCATTGTCTTTTTGAAACAAACGCAAGATCGCTCTGCCAGATTGCGTCGCAATAAAGCATCGGCACATTACGTTAAGCAACTACACCGTATCATTACACATACATATACACACGTATCGTATCGGCGATAATTCCGTTATCGTGTTCGCAAGCTTCTTTTGTGCTATCGAGCTTTTTCGTTACGTAATTTCGAGTCTGCAAATTGATATAAGCGCGATACGTGTTTTTTCTTATTTTTCACATTTTAAAAGTCATTCTCTATCTCTTTCTTTCTCTCTCTCTCTCTCTCTCTCTCTCACTTGCTGTTTTCTTTCTTTATATGCGTATTGATGCAGTACAAGCGTGTAAAATAATTTTTGTAACTGTTAAACGTCACGCAGTATTTCTAGAATTTTATCATCGCTTGTCGTTATTTTTTATGCAAATTATTGCAAAATCTTTTACGCTCCTAGTTTTAAACAATATATTCCTCTTTACAAACATTGGGTAAAATATTTATTTAAACAAATAGACAAATAATATTTTTTTATATTCGGAATAAAAAGATCAAAATAAAAAAGATTGACATTTATAATCTCTTAAGATAAATTACAAATGTTTATTGTTACGAAAATTAATTCTTGCTTTAGTTTTTTTTTTTTTTATTAATACATAAAGAAAAACTCAATCTTCCCTTCTTTCCTTCGCTGCCTTCTTTTCTTTTAAAAATTATAACACAATCTTTGCCAAAAGTTAAATGTCACTTCTTACATAACTCGGAAGAAGGAAATGAGATTTAAACGGAAAGATTTTGCTAGATTACCAATCGACTCCTTATCTACTTTTACTGCAATGAGTTAAGGATCCATTTCCGTTCATCACGCGTACGGTCATGGATCGGATCCATCGTGGATCCGCGCATGCGTCAACGATGATGTCACCGTCGTTTGCGTCGTTCTCCACACAGATACATATGTTCATCTGCGGATGTACCATCGCTCATCTAATTAACGTTGCACGCACGTCAAAACGCGCAAAACTGAACGCTTTCTCTCCCTCGGGCATACACAGTGTAGTAAGTAACACGTGCATTAGTTTCTATGCATACATATTATGACTGCGTCTTATCTTTGGTGAGTCTGCGCATCGGTTCTTCTTTCTCTCTCTCTCTCTCTCTCTCTTTCTCTCTCTCTTGTTTTTATTTTTAACTTTACATTGGACTTTAGCTTAACGAGGTGTATTCAAGGCGCGCTGTCTCTGTTTTAACAATTGCACAACGCTACTTGCCACGCATAACATTTACGAAATGTTTATGAAGACCGAGGAATTGAAAAAAAACGCGGGTCTTCTTCGTGACGGCATCACGTGCTCGTAAATGATTATTTACAGGGCGAATATTTTGTATGTTGATTATAAATGGGCGATATTAAATATATATCTTGATATTAAGAAACAAACAAATAATATGAAAGAATATGAAAAGAAATTGAAAAATTAAATCGACATTATCTTAAATAGAAATTTTAAGTATTCTTATACATACACAAAAAAAATATTCTCCCAATTTTACGTCCGAGGCATGAGTTATAGGACGCGCATTGAGATACCGCTGAAAGATATCAATGACACAAGTACTCGCAGAGACGCACAAGTACTTACAGATAATATAAATATTTACACAGATATCGTAGAAAAAATGTTGATGCATGTATAATACATACGCAATTATAATCAAAAAGCGGTCACTCTCGTCGATTGTACAGTAAACTTGAATTGTAGAAATATCCGATACCCTGAAGTGTGAAAAACAAATCATACGAGAATAATATATCTCTTTTTTGCGACTTTTCTCAAAGCTGAGCATTGTAAGTAAGCGAGAAAAACAACGCGGTATCAACAACTATGAGCGATTATATAGCGTGCGAGAGGGAAACAAGTGTATCTTTGATGAAGTTTCGCCAACAATATAATATATCCCTGTCATTTTTTAATCTCGTTTATCCTTGTTTCTACATCATTTACGTGGGTTTACGAGAATTTAAACGAATTCTTACGAATTCGCGAATGATAACGGATTTCTCCCATTTGTTTCTTTCTTTTTATTTCGTGCACACACATTGACGTTTGAGAATCACAGATACATCTACTCTACAATAAATATCATCCCGTTCTCTTTCTCTTTCTCTAGATGTCTTTATACTATATCTTTATTTTTAATATTATATAGCTTTATTAATTTTAATACTTTTATTTAAAATTAACTTTATTAAAATATCTTTATTTTTAATATTAATTTTATATTTCTGTCTGACTCGTCGAATTACGCCAAATTTTTACCCCAGGCTATTTGATCGAATCCTGTCATATACAAAATAAGCGCATCTTTTAATCTTTTTTTCTCTCCCTCCCCTTTACCTTTCAATCTCCTGCTTCCTCCGTTCCTCGTACTGACGAGTCGCACCATCGCGGAACCACTTCCGAGGAAGGCCGACCAGTTTGATTTGCATTCAGAGATTGAGCCGACTACGTCGTCCGTAAGCTAAATTAATCACCATCTCTTCACTGGTCAACGAGAGAAACATTATCAACATAAATAAACGTAAATAGTTAGCATACTTAGAGATGGAGGAATGAACAATGTCATAAGCTGCGATACTAAATAGTATATCTGTTTTGAATAAGATTTGAAAAATAATGATACATGTCAATATGTATGTTAATTATTAAATATATTTGTGTATATATGTAGAATATATATATATAGGAAAAAATGTGTTGTCGTATATTAACAAACTAGCTTTAAAAATAAATGTAGTCGCGATTTATAAAACGGAGCATGTGTGACACAAAAGCGAACGAGGGATATGCCAGCGCGGGGAAAGCGGAGTCCAATCGATTCGCATATGCAGATGCGAACACATACGGGCGATAAGAATATTCGTCTCTCTCGTCGCGAATAAAGGAGGTTGCCAAGGGGGCGACGCGTGGCGCCGGGCGTAGAGTCGCGGCCTGGGAATCGAGAGATTCCAGGTTCGATTCCGCTCGGGTCCCGTCCTTCCTTCCCACATGCCTCAAAAGAGGTTTTTCCGCAAATTATCCTATCAAACTCTATCCTTCCACTTCCCCATATGCCTCAAAAGAGGTTTCGTATTATCCTATAAAATAATTTCTCCCAGAAACTTATACTTACTGATACTCACTATATATAACCTGTTGATGGTCAGAATTTGTGATCCACCCTTGATCACAAGAGGCCAATAAATTAAAAGAGAGAGAGAGAGAGAGAGAGAGGTTGCCAAGTGCTCGAATCACATCGGAGACACCTCGAGTCCAGAGATAGCGCCTAGTCCAGTAAAATAGTATCAAAAACACCGAATATCTACAAAACGGATAGACAAGCCAGTTTTTATTTGAGTTGCTAAGCATAAAAGAAGCAGATGAAAACTTCGCTTAAAATAAGAATGAAAATTTTAGAACCTCTCTACTTGTCACAATTGTTGGCATAAAAATTAATTTTTTTTTTAAACGCCGTCTATTTATATTAATTTCTGTCCTCATGTCAGCGTTTTATATCAATTATTTGGAAACTGTTCTATATATAAGGTAAAATATAATGTGTAAAATTGACGAAACGAAATTGTGCGAATATTTCAGACCAAGACAAGATCAAACGCGAGCCACAACTGTTTCTGCCAGTGAGACCGGACACGTTATTCGCGCCCTACGATATTCATAAGCAGGGGCTGCAGACGAACAGATGCAGCGTAAGTCATTTCAAAAATGATATATCATAGTCCAGTAAAATAGTATCTGAAAATGGCAAAACGGATAGACAAGCCAATTTTTTGAGGGTGAGTAGAAGGTCATAGGAGATGCCCGAATTCACAAAGTTCCAACAAAATTTCCCTGTGCGTCGGCGGCCATCTTCAAAATAGGGGTAAGTTTGGATATCTCGGCTCCTATATATCCCTCGGGTCGAATCTTTTTCCTTTTTTTTAATTTTGTAGGAAAAAATATTTGCTACAACTTTTGTTTGAAAATTTTTTTAATAGCTGTCAAGGAAAGAAAGTTACAACCAAAAAAATGCCGTCAATTTGGGGTTGAACATTTTTATTGACAATTATATTGCCCCCTGTTAGTTTTATCAAAAAAATGTTCAAATAAAACTTGTAGAGGACTCACTTCTCTACAATTTTTGAATGTCTGCAAGATTTGACGTGAATGATTAGAGCCTGGAGATCGCGCGATATGATTTATTCTAAAATGTTACCTTATGCAATGGTCTTATTTTTATAATGGAAAGGTGTATCGTGACGTCAATATATTACTTACTCGGAATCGGGAGACCGAACAGAGTTTAGCCGCAAATAATCAACGATGCATTCGAATCCGCAGTTAGCATGCAATTTCCTTGCGAAACATTTATCTGCCATTATATTCTCGTGACGTAAACAGTGTTAAACCCCGCTAGGTTTATACGCCACATAGATTTATACGTCGCATTAAGATTAATCTCATTAAGATCTATTTTGGATGTCTTTGTGTCTCTCGTATTGTTTTCAGAAAAAGAAAAAACTTCTTCTGTAGAATTTTTCTTCTCGCACAAAACATTTCAAATATATTTGAAATTAATTCATTAATTCACTTTCTTAGTAAAATTACTTTTTCTTTTACTTACTTAAAAAAATAAAATTATTTGAAGAAATTTAATTTGGAGACTGCAGAAAGATAGTTTGATTTAATCTAAAAGTTTAAAGAAAATATCTAATTTGTTTTTAAATACCATAAAAAAACATGGTCTTTCTTTTACACATATTCTGTTAATTATAAAAAGGTAGATATTTAAAAAAGTATTTTATTTGCATGTGGAAGAGATATCCACATGCGAATTTGTAATATGGTAATAAAGTGACGATATTTGTTTCAATAGCAAGTAACTCTGCTGTGACAAAACATGTTTACGAGCTGAATAACAACTTCTTTTTCTTCCGATATTATAATAGTTTTATTGATTCCTCGATTCCGAGTAAGTAATATTCGTTCGGAAATACCTCGTCAAATGATTCTTTCCTGACATACTCGAGAACGGTTGCATAATGCTGGGTTATTTCTGTTCGAGCGCGCGGAATGCATAAAATCGCTTATTCTTGTCTATGCGCTCTTATATTACCCAACAAAATAATGCACATTTCAATTGAGCGTTACGATCTACAAAAACTCTGCGCGCATCTTCAATAAGGCTCATGTATTTCTCGTGCGATTTAATGAAAGTAGATAAAACGTTCAACGTAAGTTTCAACAAAAATAAACAAATATTTTATCGCAATAATTCACGCGAAATGTAGAAAGACAACGTCAACATAGGATAATAAATTCATATTATATAATACATCAACAACAAAGAAAATTTAAGGAAATAAATAATTATTTTTTTATAGTTTCCCGATATCAGATTTTGGTTTCGAAAGTGTTCTATTACGTCATCATAATTTGATAAACATGAAATCAAAGTTGTAAAAAAAGGATTAGTTTGATATAGTTACAGCTCAAAATTAAGAATATTTTATTATAATTTTTAAGCTTAAAATGGTTATAAAGATCAAGATTAATAAAATTTTTGTGTACCGAATATTGGGTCATACCGCATAAAGATTGTAATTATTTACCTTGTAATTAACATTGAATTTGTATTCAATAACTTGTATATATATAAAGCTTTATACTTTATAATTTATATTAAATTCTTCTATAAATGTAAAAACTCGAAAATTTTATAATTTTAATATCCATCACAATAATGTCGCTATTTTGACTCGAATTTTCACATTAGATTTTTAGTCAGCGATCTAAGAAATCCTTAAGTTTGTATGAATAATCGAAAAATATTGAATTAATCAATTATTCACGATTCTTAAATCTATTCTTAATTCTAATTTACATTTTTTCCGCAATAAATCCTATCTTTAATCTTACAAATATCTTATTAATTTTAATATATTCGCAACAAATTCCTCTTAAGGATTGAAAGTTCTGACAATATATTCGATTTTTGCTTCCATTGATTCATGCGCTCCTTACATTCACGTTCTCCTTTTTCCTTACGTAATCGTTGTCATAAAAGATACAGCGATCGTATACAAATTGTTGATTTTATCACGAATAACAGATATGTATATATGTAACTAAAGATTTCGCGAAAGCCGTTAATCTTTCCCGCAATCCGTTAACTATTTTCGCGAGTATTCTCTAGTCTTCTTGTTCTCTCTTTCTCTCTCTCTCTCTCTCTCTCTCTTTTTGACATTTTATTGTCAAGATAGGATAAAAAGGATAACGAAGAAGGTTAAAGAGGAAACTCGATGTTCCTGTAATCGATGACATTCGTGGTAATAAACAATTGATATTAATATCTTATTTCCTGCTCGATGCAAAGTAAAAAGAAGAGCACTTTGCAAATCAGTTTGAGGTACAATATGCGCGCGCGTATTTCGTTTTCTCAAGAAATTGATATAACGTTTGTTGTTACCAGTTTTTTTTTTTCAACGCCGATCCGAGTAGATTTGGTAATATTTTTCCCTGAATTATGAAACAGGTTTTCACGATTCTTAATCCGCTGACATTTTTTCATGGAAATACCGCATGCATAAATGCGTTATATACGTAAAAGCGAGTCAAGATTGTACACCAAAACATTGTTTTCTACGATGGCTTTAAAAAAATTGTTTAATTGTGTGCAATATATTTTGGCGGAGGACGATGACACGAATCGTTGAGGTAGAGACAGAAAGAGAGAGAAGGTAGACAAATTAATCAAATTGAAATACAATAAATGGGCATATGTGTTTTGAAGAGATTAATGTTTAATTTATCAATACCTCGGATTAAAAAGGCAAAAATAGAAATAATATTATATAATTAAAATACATTTCTTAAGATGTTGAAATATTTAATGCGCGAAATATATATTTTTTAAATAATAAGAAAAGTTATATAACATGAAGTTATTTTTATTATTATATGTTTGTATACATGTGTTGCTTTTATGCACCTTCTATGTATATCTATTTGTCAAATCTTAATAAGATATTTAGGTGTACAGATATTATGCGGATATAATTGTATGTAACATCAAACCTTTTATGTGAATCTGTATATTATGTATAAGACTATAGCAAGAAAATTATTAAACCTACACATCTATGAATGTTTTCATTGCTAGAATACTTAATTAAGGTAAATGTATAATATAAAGCATACATACTTGACAGTTTGGAAAATTGCAAAGAATAATCTCAGCATAAATTTTTTTATAAAATTGTCATTGAATAAAAAGGTATAAAAAAATCTAAAATGTAAGACAACGTGTTTTTACGATAAAGTATCCATAGGACGAGTATGACGAGCAACATCGTGGTTATTCTACTGAGCCAATCCATCCTGAAACACATTGAGAATATTAAGCATTGTTTCATTCTTTTCTCAGTATATCGATTTATAATCAGTCAATAAAGCAAAGTTTGCAAAGCAAAGCCAAGAATCTCAAAAATGATAATTATATAAGTATGTTTAGTTGAGAAGAGAGCAAATGTAAGCATTTTCAAGAGGAATATTGACTTGAATTCGTCGAACTTGGAAATCCAAAGGGGAGAAAAGGTCAAGATAAGCGCTTCACGAGACGGAGAATATCGATTGCGATTACAGGAATTACAATTAATTGACGCAGATTCTTGCTACATTTTACAAGGAAAACTAACGAAGGAGCTAATAATGACTAAGTCAGTGATTGAATACATGGTAGATAAATACTGCTAAGACAGAGGAAGAAGTGAGATAAGACAGTGAGATAAAAAGTGTCTTGCGTACGTAACTCGTTACACACATCGCTTTTGCGGGTGATTTGCGAAGCTGTGCGCCTTTTATATGCGACTAATGAAATTTTAATATTTTTGTTATTCTCTCAGACATCACCTGGAATATATAAATAGTTCAAATGCAAGATTGCGGCGGTAAGTTCCGCTTACATGTAAATGCTGCTGGATTGCGCAAATGCGATGTAATTAAAATGCAAATAATCGAGGAATGTTTTCAGATTCTTAGCAATAACGTACAAATACATATGAATTCTTACAATTAGCAATGCAAATTTCGAATAATATAAGTATATATTGTTGTGAACATTACGCTAAGGATAAAGTAGCTGGGTAAAATTTACGTCAGTCATATATCGCTGTAAGATTATTATGTATACGTGTATTACCAATAATCGATAAATATTACTTTTCATTTAATATAGTTGAAAGATAAATTAAACTCGATGACTGTGTATAAGAACTTTGCAGCTTGATGGCGGATGACGAAAGCTAAGAGATAGAAGAGATTCTGGAAAAAAAGAGTATAAGATAAATTATAATTGTTAGAGAATAACAATACTTATTGTCCATAACCAACCGTTTGTATCTGAAGACAGTTTCTTTGAAGGAGAGAAAGCAATCGTTGGCATAGAGATTATTGAGACTATTACTTAAAAATACTGTAAATTTATCCAAGTTGTATAAATACTCACTATTCTAACGTAGCACATTTAAAATTAACAAAAAAAAAAAAAAAAACTTTGAAAATCAAAATAAAAAAAGTTTCTAGATAATACACTTCCCAGATCTTCCCTTGTTTTTTGCGCGATTTGTTTCATTCACGACAATGCAATTTTTTTTGACCAAATTGAAAATTTATAACATATAGATATTTTGATGTAACATGTCATATAGTTACATATTTGTACCACCCCGTTGCGATTACATTCGCGAAAGAAAGACGCAAAAAACCCAACAAACGCGCACATCTGGTTTTTCTCGATGAAACTAAAATTAACAGGCGTCTAAAAGTAGTTCGACCGGCGTAACAATTCGCGAAAATTTTCGTCGGTTGCCAATGCGCGTGTTTCCACGTTACGACCTAATTTTCAACCTAAGGACTTCACAACCGATCGACCAAACAGTTGTATACGTAACTTCGCGACGTCGAATTTCCGTCTTAACGTTATCTCTAATTTTCTATCTGTTTTATTCTCCGCGAGTGTCTAATTTATTTTTATATATATTCCGATCTCGAAAATGATATCATCTTTGATGTATCGAATATGTGACGCGAGTTTTACAACATCATCGTCGATAGAAATTTCTCTTTTGAATCGCTCGTAACTTAAAAACTGTTAATGTCTCTCGGTATCTCTTTTTTTTCAAAAGAAAAAGAAACAGGCTCGAAATTAAGCGAAAAGAAAATCTGCACGACCAAACTCCGTTCTCCATTTTATAAAGTGCATGCCACCTTACCTTTTACGATGAAGCTTGGCTGCTTCTAGCTGATTCATGTCTTCTTTAAGTAAGTAAATTTTTGCGCCGATCAATCCATTTCTATAGCAAATAAAGTACGACGATAATAAAAGAGATAGTAGATGAAACAGATTTTATTACACCGTGATCGCACAATTATAGCACTTACCTAAAATAATCTGCTATATCCAAATCTTTGTAGGCAAATCCAAAATCTTTCTTATTTTCGGCGCTAAGATTATCGAGTAAGCTTACTAATTTTTTATTGTGAAATTTCCATTCGTTTCTCAAAAAATATGACAAAGCATTATTTGCGCAATATACTTTCCGCTGAAGTTTTAGTAGGCTAGAAAAATAGAGCATCTAGTTAATTTCTTTTTTTCATTTAAAATATATAAAAAATACTCGGAACTAACAGCTATTTTAATCCTCGCAATATTTATTAGCTTTTTTCGGAATTTTATATTTCTTAGAAACGTAATAATATCAACGTAACTAGAAATTTTACTAAAAGATAATTGAAAGATCCTCACTGAAAGATCTTCGTAATTAAGAGAAAATGTGATAATTATAGAACATTTTATATAGAGACTTAATTTTATGATATAATTATACATTGAAATAACTGTATATATAAACTTTGGAAAATCCTCTATAAAATAAAGCTTACATTGGACGTGCGCCAAACAACTTCATAATTCCATCTATGAATAGTGCCGGTAGGATGTGCATAATTAACACCAGTATGTAATAAAAAGAACGGCTCGTAATTATTGTAGTGCCTGGTGACCAAATAATATTTTCAAGGGGAACATCTTTCGTTATTTGGAATCCCATTTCGACAACATTCTTTATACTTATTCTCTTTATATCATGCGACGAGCAATTATAAATGTGCATTGTATCGTCCTCGGTGATGCTGAATCACAGAAAATACGCTATAAATATCGTTTGTGGGAATTATGTACAATCTACTTAGTGCTTTAAGAAATAACAATAAACATTGATAAACGACTTTATTGTGTGAAAGAATCGGTAAGCATACGGTTTGATTCCACGTTGCCAAGCCACAATTATTATCGCTTTAATCGCAACATCCACAGGCATAAAATCGGAAGTGATGTTAGGATCGACGTACAGCACTCGTAAAACACCCTTGCCACCGCCAACAAGCATTCCAACTGGACCATTGAAATTGTCTAGCCATCCTGCTAATGGATCTTCTGCTGACGAAATGACAATGGATGGTCGGATTATCACGCAAGGCAATGACTTTGAATAATCACTTATTACTTGCTCCGCCAATCTTTTTGTAAAAGTATACGTGTTTGGCATCGTTCCCAGGTATCTGCAAATAAAAATGAACGCAAAATTATATTAATGAAACGAAAGCGACGATGCGCCATACGGTGTCTATATAAAATTTACTTTGCTGTAAACGTTCTCAGAGTATGCTCGTCGACGGATTCGGCGACTTTAATCGCCTCTCTCCAATCCAATTCTGAGGGATACAGAGTCTCGTCAACCTCGGATTTGTCGGTTTGAGTGTACGTCGAGCTAACATGCAGCAAAACCTTGAATCATTTACACGTAAATTAAATGTTACAAGAAATAATATGGTGATATGTATGATAAAGGCGTGTGTGTGAGAGTCTCGTCAACCTCGGATTTGTCGGTTTGAGTGTACGTCGAGCTAACATGCAGCAGAACCTTGAACACGTAAATTAAATGTTACAAGAAATAATATGGTGATATGTATGATAAAGGCGTGTGTGTGTAATAAATATTAGATTGAAATAAATAATAAATGTTTTTTTTTATTATGAACTTTGTGTCTCGTGATTTTAAAAGATTTGTTAATTTCGGTAAAATTGATGGCTCTGAGCAACTGAGAAATCATATATAAATTATATCTAAATAAAATCAAAATAATCTTATATATTAATTATTTGCACAGAAATGCTGTAATTTTAATTTTAAATCAAAACATACATACCACTAAGTTTTTCATTTCTTTTGCTAGAATACAAAAATCTCGCGTTGACCTCGTATTGTTAAAAATCGCTTCACGCAGGCTTTCGTCGAATCTTACGCTTGCCGCAACATGAAATAGAACGGACACCTTTTCGATTAGCATTTCTCTATCGGCTGGTAGCAATCCTAAGCCCTCTATACCTACATCTCCGTTTATTGGAATGAGCTTATTAAGAGCAGATGGTCGCTCACTTCGTAAAACATCGAAAAGCTAAAATAATCGTCGATAATTATTAATATATTTCATATTTCCGTTACGATTTCATTCATTCTATATCTCAGGAAGATCCATAGTTTAAAGAAAGAAAGAATTTTAAAGTGAAAAAGTATAATAAAACAATTTTATTTAAATAAAGAAACATAAGAAAGAAAGATTTCTCATATATTAAGGTTTCTCATAGCTCATTGTTAAAAAAGGTTAACATAAATATTGTGTGTGTGCTTTAAAAAATTATTTCTTTTTGTAATTTTCAAAAAATTAATTGACAATTTTTAAAAATTCTTTCATCTTCTTTGTTATCCTTTTTTAAGAAAACTTCTACTTAAAAAAAAGAAACAGACATTCTTTTAACTTCCAAAAATAATTTTATTTTTGTAACAGCTGTTCTCTAAACAGATTATATATAGTTTTTAAACTTTCGAGTAAAATTTCATATTTCTATACATTTACAGATAGTGACACATTTTTCTTGTAGATAATTATTTATACACACATACATATACATTTTTATCACGACTTTACCTTGTTATTCAACATTTTTTGAAGCCTCTCGTTGACACTCAATCCCTTCTTTGGCCGTATCAAGAGAAATATTTCGGCAACATCAGGACAAGACCGCAGCAACTTTTCACACAGAACTTTGCCAAGAAAGCCAGTACTTCCCGAAATTAATATACTACGACCAGCATAAAATGCTGATATAAACATATTTGCGTCTTCCTTCATGTTTAAACGCTATTATTTCCGGTAAGATGAATAAACTATCAAAAAATAATGTGTTTTACAGAACAGCAAATAAAAGATAACGAAATAGCAAAATTTTATTCGAAGGTTAATTTATAAAAATCGGGAAAAACAAATCGAGTTATTTAAAACTTGAGCCACAATAATTGAACTTGAAACGAAAGTCGCAGTACTTCGTCTTCGATAAAAGATAACAAGGTGAATGAGCACAACGAATTTTGTGCGCAGGAAATGACATAGAAGTTACTCAATGATAATAATATGCTTAAAGTTCAAAGGAACAAGCTCTTCCATATTCGTACATTGATCTGCATATATCATGTGTTATGTGATTATTTTTAGATAGACGAATGCAGTAGTGTTGTAACGAACAAGCAGTTTATACATATATAATTACAAATCTTCTTTCGTCTTACATCAAGTACGCATACAATTTTATTTATTTATTTCTCTGTCTATTACATAATCATTTCTCTGTTTCTATCACTCTCTATATTGCATCAATTATTATACATAATATTATAATTATACATAGCAATGTGTTGATCAATCTGTGATCTGAAAAAATTCAAGTGCAGGTCCATTTATACATCATCCATAGCACTCCAATAACGATGATAGTTTTCAACGTCGTAACAAACAGATCCACTCTAAAATATTTACAGAATAGACATATTATACAAATATCTTGATTATTTCCATAATATTTATCCAACAACAAATCTTTTTAAGTTTATTCTTTTTATTTCACAGGTATCTAAATTCTTTATATATTAGTAATATTCTTTTAATTCCTTAAAAATTCTATTATTTAAATCATATAATATTAATAACGATATGTATTATACAATCTATATATGCGTGTTTTAAAAACAAATTTAAAAGATTCCTTTAAAGTTAAATTCTTATTTTCATAAGAACCAAATCCATTTTTACCTAATCTGATAGGATAATAATCAATCTTCAAATCTCTATTATTATTGTCGCTTAACAACTAATTTTGAGTTTACACACTTTATAAATGATAACACACAATATCCTGTTTATAAAATATTTTACACTCACCTTTTACGATGCGCTCTGGCTGCATCTAATCGATTCATGTCCTCGCGAAGGAGATATAACTTAGCTCCAATTATACCGTGCCTTTATTTTATAAAATAAACATCTAATGGCTTAACATCATCTTTGATGTAAATATTACTTAATAAATCAAATTAATAGAAAATATTTACCTGTAAATGTCTTTCACATCAATAGTCGAAAAATCGCATAAGAATACTTCCCTCTCCTTAGGTGAAAGTGGAAGCTTTAATAATTCCATACTTTTTTTATTTTCAAATTTCCATTCATTACACATAAAATGCTTCAGAGCGAGATTGGCCACGTATATTTTTCTATGCAGTCTTACTAGTCTATATCGTATATTATATATTTACACAAACTGGTTTATTACACACGGAAAAAAAAATTAGCTGCCGTAGCTAAAAACTGCGTGTGGTAACTAGATTTCAGTCGTAATATATGGACAGCGAACATCTTAGCTGTGACACCTATTTATTAGGTGCAACAGCAAACATCTTAACTGTGATACCTATTTATTAAGTGCAACAGCAAACCGTTTTGCTGTAGTTTAGAAATTTATTTTGCAAACCATGATTAGCCATGGTAGCGAAAATTTTTTTTTCCGTGTAATTGTGTAATGTCAGTAATACTATTGAATTCGGAAATATAGAAAGTCTAATAAAAAAACTTCAAAAAGAGATATATAATTTTATACAGTTATTAGCGTGATTGCGTTAAGAGAATATTTTTTTAATAAGTTTTTTTGTCTATACATTGTGTGTACAAAGGGAATATGCATAAATTCGTATTTTAGATTTATTTATATTAAAAGAAAACATTTTGCATTAAAAATGAAATATTTTATTTTAGATATTTTTTTCTGTTTCTTTTTCTCTTTTCCCCTCTCCTTCTGATCTTCCTGATTCAATTAAATAGCTGTATCTAATAGGATATGAATGATCTCTCTCTCGTGTGTGTGTGTGTGTGTGTGTGTGTGTGTGTGTGTGTGTGTGTGTGTGTGTGTGTGTGTGTGTGTGTATTTTAATGCAATGGCATGATCAGTTCGGTACTTACATAGGCTGATGTCCCGTAAGTTTTAAAATCAGATCTATTAGTATAGCTGGCAACATATGCAACAATATTGTCAATACATAATGTGTGGTGGAATTATTGGTAAGTATTGTATTAGGGGTCCAAAGAACTCCCTCGAGGGGTATGTCTTCTACGAGTTGAAAACCCATTTTGGTAATTTCTTGCGTTGACATACTTTTTAAATCATAAGTAGTACAATGTAAAACCAAAGGTTCAGAACTTGGCGTAAAGCTAGTAAGTAAATAAAATCACAAATTAATCAAATTGTTACTTATACAAAATTTCGTCAAAATTGCATTAGGCTTCAACAGTATCTTTGAAAAATTTAGAATTTTGTGCAAGTTACAAGGTATTATTATAAAGTATTAAACATTCAAAGTTAACGAGTTTCGGTAAACCAAGCATCAGAAATGTAAACAAAAGTCACGTTAATTAATTCAAAAACGTCAATTTAATTATGTACGACATAAGTTGTATTTATATCAATTGATACTTGGAAATTAATCTGTAAATTCTAAACTTTTTAATGGAACAAAAGATTAACGAAGAATCAAGTAAGATGTGTAATTCCGCTAAAATGTTGATTTAGTTTTAAATGAAGAAAAAAAGCTTTTTTTATATGCATTTTTTCGTAAGCTTAATGCACTTAAATATTTAAATACGCATTGATATTTGCGTTGATAATCGTACGTAGTCAATCCAAGTTTCCAAGCTACGATTATTATACATTTGATAACAACGTCTACTGCTGTTATATCTAGAGTAACATGTTTATTAGTGTAGGATACTCGTAGTATTCCTTTCCCGCCACCAATGAGCACTCCTATTATACCATTAAAGTTATCTATCCATCCTGGAAATGGATCGTTTATTGAAGATGCCACTAAAAGATAAATCATATTTATTAGATAATTATTGCTATATTATTGTTTATTTTAGTGATATCAAGGTAATTTTGTTTTGAACGTTTTCAATGAAAACGCAAAGGAGAAGAGGGACTACAAAGCTTATGAACATAATTTTTGCTCAATTTTCGCTTAAAATTTAGTTTCTAGCTTTAAACTGTTAAGCAAATATTTATTTAGTTATTTTTGATAACAATACGTCCATAAATGTTGAAATAATTACGCATTATATGAGAATATGTGTGGGGGATAATCTTCTAATATAAATATAATACTTTATTCTAAAACATTCTATATAAAAAAGGAAAAATATTAATATTCGGCGTGTCTAAACATTTCAAAAGAGAAAAATAAGAATTATTTGTAATATTCCAAAAAAGAAGAGAGAGTGACATACCTATAGAAGGTCTTACAATCGCACAAGGTAACGATGAAGAATATTCCATTATTACACCCTCAGCTAAATTCTTCGAGAATACATATGTGTTGGGAAAATTTTCCAAACATCTGTACATAATATTTAAAAATTATATAGAAAATTAACAGTCCGAAAATGATTGTAACAATACTAATGTGAATGAAAAAGAATGGTTTTTTATTATTTTTTTTTTTTAATTGCGCATTCCGCATACTTAAAGTTTACAAATGCATATAGTATGTTTAATTTTATTTTGTGATATTTACTTAGCTGTAAAGATATTCAAGATATGCTCATCCAATGTTTCGGCTGCTTTGATCATTTTCCGCCAATCGGCTACAGGTGGGTAAACTTTTTCTTCTACGATAGGAATATTCACATGCGCGTATGCTGTACTGACATACACTAGTGCCTTTAATAAATATAAATTAAACCGCAATTAATCCTAAAATAACATCTTTTTTTTTTAAATAATAATAATAAGTTAAGAGCAAAAATTTACGTATATTCATAAAATTGAAATTAAATATAAAATTATGTTTTATGTGTATATATTATGGATTATCCTATTTTTTTTTGTTAATTGTTTAATTGTAATGAGTACGCAATAGAAGATTGTAATTTACTTAAAAATTTAAAAGAAATGCAACATTAATTTATACTTACTATTAAATTCTTCATACTTTGAGCTAAGATACAGATATCTCTTGTTGATCTAGTATTATTCAAAATGGCGGACTTTAAGCTATCGTTAAATTTCACATTCGCCGCTACATGAATTATTATAGTCACTCTTTCAGTTAACGTTTGCCTATCGATAGCTGACAAACCTAGATTCTCTTTACTGACATCACCGTAAAGCGGAATTAATTTTTTGAAATTTGAGGGTTGCTCTTCTCGCAGCTTATCGTATAACTGAAATAGAAAGATATTATGTAACGTATTTATTATGATAATTACCATGATTCTTAAGGTATCTTTGATAATGTTGCAAAAAAAGTTGTAGAATATTTTGCTTATTTTACAATATCTTACTTTTAACGTTTTTATATGTACTATCATATACTTTTATCAAGTTTTAAAATTAGTTTTTTATTAATTAGTTTATATGATAAGATTTTTTTAAAAAAACCTTTCATTTAAGTGAACAATTTTCAAAAAAATACGGTGTTGCAAAAAAGAATCTATACTTAACGTATGTATGTATTAATGTATGTAATTAACTTACCGGTAATTTTAATATTTTTTCAAGTCTTTCGTAAATATTTAGTCCTTTTTTTGAACGCATTAATATAAATACTTCACGAACATCTGGGCAAGATCGCAATATCTTCTCGATGTATACTTTACCCAAAAATCCTGTCGCGCCTGTTACAAATATACTTTGTCCAGCGTAAAACGTCGCAATCGACATGGCTGGATCAATTATATTCTTGTCCATCTTTATTAAAACAAAACTAACATAAATAATAATAATAACAATAATAGTCAAATTTTATACAAGCACTCGGAAATGTAATCTCTTTTATGTCGATATCGTTATTAACTAGTACGATTTCGATTGGATAAAAATGATAAACTGAGATCAGCCATCAACGACGAACGCTATTTAATTGCAATGTATTTATACATGTGTAGGTATATTACGCACGTAAGCGTTTGCTAAGCAGATCGTGTGCAAATATTCGTATTAACAAAACGGAAATTCTGTAAGTTAAGGTCGAAAGAGCAAACTTATATATTGCAATAATATATGCTCCAATAATATAGTTTATAGTGACATAAAGTTACCTTATAGTTTATTCTACATGTGCAATATGTAATTCTGCGAAGAATTTCATATAATCAATTGTGTTTAAACAGTTTTTTAAACAAAAATAAATATATCAATTTAAATTAAATTGAATAAAATATTTATACCTTAAAATGGCGACAATAATAATGAAAATATAATTTGAAAAAGTAGCAGTCATTCTAAACAATGTTGAGTGTGTGTGTGTGTGTGTGTGTGTATTAAAAGTTAAAAATTTTTAACTTTTTAATGCTTGTTCTACCTTGTATTACTTTTCTTTATTTTACATATTCATATATTTTAATTCTTTTATTTATTTAATTTTCTAAAATATACAAAGCTTAATTCTAAGAATGTGTGTGAGAAACGTCTTTAATTTATTTCTTAAATCAACATTTTCTTCTTTTCTTTAACAATTAAATGCTAATCTATCAAAACTGATATAAATTTTCATTTGTTAGCTTATTTATTAGGAGTTAATGTATTTATTGCGCGTTTATATGTTAAATCGATTAATATCAATGGTTTTTGGGGTTCCAAAGTTTTTTTTACGTCTTCCTTTGGCATTCTCTTTTTCTTAATTGCAGTTTTTCTTATATTTTCCCTAACGGTATTTTATATTTGATAATTTTTCTACATAAAATGTAGTTTAGACGTTGTATATAAGACGTAGAATGATAATAACATAGGTCTGGAGTTCAATTTTTTCCATATTTATGCGCTCATGTACATATATCGTATTTCTGTTTTTTTTTTCTGCAGAATGTAATAGCATTGTATCTAATAAACTTATTTTCTCATCACGTAAAAAATATATTTGATTTTATTTCTTTAATAGTTACAAGGCAAAGTTAGTCTAATATAAACGTACATGTAAATTAAATATTGAGTAAATCAATTTTTATACAGTTTTCTAAATCTGGTAATGATTTAAATTATATTTTGATACAACCACAGTATCATATATTAAAGCAAATTGTCTCTTGTAGGACAATCAATACTCGTTCATACATCAATATAGATTCCATACATTATCCGTATGAAGAGAATTCCGATCAATATTTTTACAATTCTGTCGATCCAAAGCATTCTGTAGCCATAAAAGAGATTAAATTATTATTTGGAACTAACAGTAATACATTTGTATCAAATCATTATAATTGAAGCTCTTTCAAAATAGTTCAGCTAATTAAATCTACATCAAAAAGCTTAGCTTTATTATATATTGCTCGAAACAAAATAAACGGTTACTGATTTGCACAATTTTATAAATTTAATAAAGTTTAATAAATCAAGAATTTAAAGTATTATATTGAAATATAATATATATACATTTGTTTTCTAAAGGTAAAGATGTAGGTATCTTGAAACAGTTATTCACCAATTGTTTCGAGCAATATAAATGTTTATAATTAATATTTTTGCGAAAAAATAATCTATTTTGAATCTATTTTGCGACTAAAAAAAATTAATGAGATAAAGTCGAGGGAGCATAATGTTTTGTATATAAATTGTAGGACATACAGTCTCTAAAATCTCACCTTTTATAATGGAATCTTGCTGCATCCAGTCGATCCATACTCTCGTTTAGAAGAAACATTTTACTTCCAATTGTACAATTTCTACGAGAGATAAAAATAATATTTTATTTGCCCACACAAATTATATTAGTCTAGCAGTATTAGTCATATATACACAGAATTGTTCTCATTTTATAATAAAAGTGTTCTCGATTATAAAGTTAACTGTTATTATTTCTTAAAATTAATATTCTTTAATAAAAACAAAAATAAGATATATTAATAGTAATCTTTTGCTCGTTTTTTGAAAATAAGTAAATTTTGAAATTGTGTAACGCACAATTTCTATCTTACTCACCTATAATATAAGAATAGATTGTTGTAATTGTAATTTAAATCTACCGCAAATCCAAAATCTCGTTGATTATCGGGCGGCACTTCATTTGACAAACTTAATAGTTTTTGATTTCGAAAATTCCATTCGTTAAATAGAAAGTGCGTCATGTTATTGATATTTACGAATATTTTCCTTTGCTGTTTCAGTAATCTAGAAATATTTGAATAATATTTTATTAATATCTCGATAATAAGTGTATATGTTTCTGAAGCATTATTCTATTCTACAGCAACATACTTTTTTCTTATTGAGACTCAAAGAAATTACTTTAGTACACGAAGAAAAATCTTTAGAGAAGTTTATTTAAAAACGTCTCCCTATATTTCATATTATATAGCGTAAAGTAAAACATTTTTAAACGTGTTATTGTTTTCTTAATCTTCTTTGAACCTAACCTAACCTAACCTAACTAAAATTAACAAATACATTCTGCAATAAAATCTTACCTGGGATTTTTGCCTGCAATTTGTAATAATCCATCTATAAATACGGCCGGTATTATGTGCAACAGTAACACTAATATATAATAACAAAAATAACTCTGTGTCATAATTAATCCAGGAGTCCAGATTATATCTTCTAAAGGATACTCCGCGACGGTTTTGTTGCCTATTTGTATCGTATTTAAACGTGATTGAATCATGCTATGATTGGACGTGCAGTTATAAACGAATGGATGAATATTTTGCGTGTCGTTGTTCTTGCTAACAAAATTGAAAATAATCATAAAATAATTTACAGAAAAAAATCTTATTGCACAAATTTTTTCCAATACATTTTTATCATATTAAATTTTCTAATTATAT